TGTTCTTGTTAAATTCCATCCCATTAATGATTGCCCAATGCTCCAGCCTATCTAGGTTCCTCTGCAAGGCATCTTGTCCCTCAAGAGAGTGGACAGCACCTCCCAGTTTGGTATTGTCGGCAAACTTGCTAATGGTGCATTCAACTCCTGCATCCAGATCATTGATAAATATATTGAACAGAACTGGCCCTGGAATTGAACCCTGAGGAACACCGCTGGCGACCGGTCGCCAGCTACATGTAGCCCCATTCACTACAACCCTTTGAGCTCTGCCCTTCAGCAAGTTCTTCACTCAGCACACTGTGTACCTGCTCATCCCACAGCTGGACAACTTGTCCAGTAGGATGCTGTGAGGGACAGTATCAAAAGCCTTACTAAAACCCAGAAAAACATCTCCCCATCCTCAGGGATGTTAAATCAAAGCCTTTGGGGAATAACAACATCTAAGTGCATATTATTCAACTCAGCCAGATCCAGTAGTTCAAGGATCCGTTGCCTGCATCTGTGCAATCGCTGCCATAGCAATCCTAGTTGAATGGAGTAAAAAAATCTAGTGCTTGGACATCCTCCGATGGCACAAGTTATGCAGGCAATGTCACCACAGCAAATACATCACTATGAGCTGATTCTCCTAACAATGGAAAACATAACACTTAAGCAGTGTAATACGCTGAACCCTGCTATTCTACTCCTTTTACCTGGGGAAGGAACTCCATATCATGGTTGTGTAGTAACAACCTGTAAAGCTGAAAAGGCTTGAGGAGATTTAATGGATGTGCCATTTCTAGATCCCAATCTGGAACTATTTGTAGACAGGTCCTCGTATTATCTGAACGGCAGCTGTGTTACGGGTTATTCAATAACTACAGTGAATGGAGTAGTAGAGACTTCACCACTCGGTCAGAAGCTGAGTGCACAAGCAGCAGAATTAATTGCATTAACAAAGGCCTGTCAGCTGGCCAAAGAAAAGACTGATTCTCGATATGCATTTGGAGTATGCCATGCTATTGGACAATTACGGAAGCTGTGTGGGTTTATACTTATAGCAGAAGTAAAACATCAAATGCTCCTCAAACTACTGAACTGTTAAAAGCTATACAATTCCAGAGAAACTTGCTATCATTCATCAGCCAGCCCATACCAGCAGAAGGACAAAAGAAGATAAAAGAAATAGTCTAACAGAGATTGCCACTATAGCCGCAGCACAACAGCTGTACGAACCACCGGGCTCACAAACAGTCCAATGGTCCAACCCGGTGTTGCCTGCTCCTGAAAAGATATGTTTGACTGTTCCTGCTGAAGAAATTGACGCTAGGAAAAGGTATGAAGTGACCAAAGATTCCCAGGGAATATGGAAAGCAGGTATGGAAAACCTTCCTATTTTACCTAAGCAGTACCCAATTCCCATAGCAAAAATGCATCACCATCTAGGGCATTTTGGGACTGCTGCACTAGCCCAGACAGTGCTAAAAATTGGTTCGCACCAGGAATTTATGCTGCAGCCAAATAGGTAACTGTGTCTTGCACGCACTACCTTTAGCCTTAATGAATATTTAACAAAGACCTCAACAAAAGACCAAACTGCCTCCCTATGAAATACTATTTGAAAGACTGATACAACTCCCTGGAACTGATGTACCCACTCGTATAATTTTATTAGCAGGAAATGAAAATGTGACCCAGTATATTTTACAGGTTTAGAAATTATTAAAATACAATCAGGCCCGGGCACAGCTAATACAACCAGTACCTCCAGAAGGGGCTCTGCACCCCTTCAATCTAGGGAATTAGCGTTTGGGTAAAAGTACACAAAAGAAAGGATAACTTATCTCCTTGGTGGGAGGGACCATTTTTGTTATTGCTAACCTTTCTCAGCAGTAAAGGTGGAGGAAAAATCGACTTGAATCCATGACTGCCACTTAAAAGCTGCAGCCACGCTGGAAGTGGAACCACGAAACATCCAGGTGTGGATGGAACATCCACAGTGGTGGAACATCCACCACCACCGAGACTGATTCACCCGCAGCTGGGAACTTACACAGAGCCAGCGGATTGGCTGTGAAACCACTGATCCTGCGTAAGAATTCAACAGGAAAGTGGAAAGTAATCTGATACTTATGAATTGTACATGGGCTGAACCATACCCTTACTTAAGAGTGCAACCAAGGTATAATTATTTTTGCTATTTGTGTCTGTTTGTTTTTCCTATTAATAGTGATTTGGAAGCCTAGATTTTGATAGGATAGCCTTTCTTATAAGCCTGTGGTGGAATATTGATTATACGTATTCATTCCATAATTCGGCCGTAGCAACAGTCCATACTGTTGCGAATAAGCCTGACTGTTGGAAATGCACTAAAAGCCTATCCGCTGCCGGAAATCAACTCTCCTGGATTTCAGCCCCATTGAATTCTCAGCGGTACAAGGACGGGCATATACATGATGGATTTTCACTAAAAAAAGGAAGGAGAAACCCAAGAAGGGTTTGTCACTAGTTTGAAAGGAGACCCCTGGGTACGCTTGGAGAGCAAACCTATTGAGGAGCATACTCACTTTGTAAGGGCTGGGAATTGAAAATGCCAATATATCTTTAAAATTAATAGAATTAATGGAAAGGGACAATTCAGGTCTTGGGTCCATATAGATGAAAAGGGGATTCTTATGCCTGGAATGTTCCATAGATCTATTCCTATGCCTAAAGGCAATCAGTATTCCCCCATATATTTTTCCAAAACCTTACTATATACTACATCCACTGAGTGTAAAAGGGAAATTCTCCAAAAGCCCTTACATAAAACCTATTATAATAAGACATCACGCTGTAGATTTGTTCCTGGATGGAGTTTATCAGGCCCTGCAGACTCCGAGACAATGTGGATATTCACAGACAGATTAACCCGATATTCTGTAGGAAGCCATAATCAAACTAAAGATAATTATAAAATTTTTACCTAAACAACCAGATCCAGCACATACCAACCCTTTTACAGGAAATAATTACATGATTAAGATTTATTTGTAGATTATACTGCCCTATTGACACAACTACCTGGGTAATACTGGATATGCGGAGAAAGGGCATTCAAGTATTTACCCGCAACCTGAGCTGAAAAGTGTATGCTAGGTGCATTAATACCATCCGCACAGGTTAGAACCAGTATCTATTCTGCCTCTGTAGCTCTTAGCTACCGGTATATATGAGAAAAAGCGTTACAACCCTCTGATAGAGTGTGGCACTGAGTTCCACCTGCCTGTAAGAGCTTTTATCCCATGGTTAGGAGTTGTTGAACTACAAAGAGCTATTGCAAATGTGTCAATAGAATTAGAAAAAAGCCACTAATGAAACTGCGGATAGTATTATAATGCTAAAGGAAAAAATCAAATTATTATCACAAATGGTTAATACAGAATCGATTAGCCATAGACTACCTATTAGCAGCACAGGACGGAGTATGTGCATTATTGAATAACGGCTGCTGGGTTTATGTAAATCCAGACCAGAAAAATGAAACTGATAAAAACAAGATAAAGACACATTTTAAAATATTACATGAAAAAAGACAGGGATCTCCCCTAAATCTATTTGGGTAGTTAACCTCTTGACTCCCAGACCTAGGTATAGGACTGTGAGCTAAGAGGATTTTGGTTTTGTATTCACTATCTTATTTTGCATCATAATTATATATGTATGTTTACATTATTGTATAACTTTATGAACTCAATTAACTACTAAATTAATGAATAGTGTGGTGTGATCCTGACGGTCAAAAGAAAAGGAGAGACTGTTAGGAAAAACCTCATTCCCTAACTACTGTACCAATTAGTCTTTATACTATGAAATTGTATGAAAACTTTGTTAAGATATAAATAGTTTACATTGTATACTGCATATTCATGGTTAAGTAAGCATGACTAAAGGACCCCAGCTCATTGCAAGGAGAAGGACAGCCCCCGCCATGAAGAAGAAGGGATACCCCCGGTCTACTGAGGTGACGCCAGCATCCCAGCCCCTCCAACTCCTCTCTGAAACCCTCCCCTTATCTGGCATCACAGATAAATAACTGTAGCAAGACTGACTCTAGGGACATTTAGATCAAGAAAGAAGCAGATGGATGATGACACCATAAAATTATAGATGCTTTGACCCCACTCGGGGTCAAGATCCCTCTGCTGCCCGGCTCCAAGCCTGTCTTCTGCTGGACAAAGCTGGGGGAAAAGGAAGTAGAAAGGAGTAGAAAAGCTCTCCTCTTTTACGGGGTCCCCAGCATTCAGAGAAGTCCTTGTGGCCACCTGCTCTACAGCAGGAGCTGCAGCCCTTCAATTGGACAGGGCTGGGGAGTTGAGGGAAGCTCCTGGCTCTGTGGTGCCGAGAGAAAGGAGAACTTGCCCATAGCAGTGCTCCAGGCTGGCCAGAGCTGGATGGAGAAGAGAGTTGGTGTCAGGTCTTCAGACTCCCTTTACCTTTCCACAAGGACAGCTTGGCACCTCTGGGGAGCGCAATCCCATGTTGCAATCAGAGTGAATTGCCAGAGGGAAAGACATGGCTGTAGGCAACATTTCAGCTTAGCTCCTTACAGGTGCAGCACTGGGCATAACCCTCTCACCCCTGCAGTAAACAGCTCCTTGTATTCCTACAGCAACAGTAGGTAGCCACCAGACGGAGGATGTAGGCACAGGGTTTCTTCTCCATTGGAGAGAAGAAGTAGATCTCTGAAGTAGAGAGATCTTTCCTCTGGGTGGAAAGTAAGCCAGGAATTAGTCTATACCTCGGAGGTTTGGAAATGCCACCATGTGTGCGTGAGGAGCTCGGGAAGTGCGTTCGTCCCTGCTGCTCTCTCCTGCCCTGTTCATACTCTGGAACATCTCTCACAGCTTTACCAGCCCTCATGCTATTTTGACCTGGGAGATCCCTACTGTCACCTAATGTGCACAGAGTACAACAGCCTGCATGACCCGCATCTGCAGGCGTACCACAAATGCAAAGACAACATCTAGAGGCAGAAGAGAGGGGGTTACGTCAGCAGTGATGGCAAAGTAGGTTTGGATGTTGTCGGGCTGATGAAAAACGGTTCCCTCCGAGCAGGGTTCCCCGAGTGCAGAGGAAGTGTGTGCAGAGGAGCAGCTCCCCTCCCGCTGGGTTTGGGCTGTTTCGGGGAAGGCAGTCTGCGTAGCTGACTTGACAGTTCTTGGGTGATTTCTCCCCTCCTCTCTCCATAGGTGGCTTGCACTCTGAAGGAGTTCAATGAGTACAGGCAGTATCTGACCAGGCTGAAGCTGGAGGCAGAGAAAATGTTCAGGCGAGAAGAGGTAGGCAAAGCAGAGTGTTCGCGGACACCTGTCAGCAGCACGGTGCTGAGGTGCATCTTGGGGAGGCGGTCAGTGCAGAAGAGGTGAGGGCTGTGCTGCTGGGCCGGGCATTGTGGCGGGGGAAGGACTACCCGGCTTGGAGCTGAGCTAGCGCAGGGTGCTGGGGTGGGGGTGGGCAGGAAGGTCATGTGCAAGCATGTGGAGTACTGAGGGAAGCCCTTCTTTTCTGCCCTCATCATGTGGCTGAAGCAGGGCACTGGCCTGGGCCTGCGTGAAGCCTCAGCACACAGGGGCATGAGCACTTGTCCAGGCAACAGCGAGCCACAACCTGGGGTCACCTTTCAGGAAAGGCTTCAGCAACACCTGCCCAAATTAAAGGATGCCCCCAAACTGCCGGGAGCAATTGACGCTTCCTGCCTGGCAGAGCGGCTGCTGCAGCCTCGAAAACCATCTTGCCCACCTCCACCCAAGAGCAGAAAGATATCCCTGAAATCAAGCTGCATTTGAACAACAAACTGCAACAGAAGCCCAGAAGCTTGAAGATGTGGCTGAGACTGTGGTGCAGGAAGTGTTGGAGAGGCAGAAGGCTCCTCGGGATCAGTCTGTCTGCGTTTTAAGGAGGGCTGCCCTGGGGATCAGAGGAAGATTGTATGGCAGCGCTGGAAGAGCAGAGCCTTCAGAGACTTCTCCTCCTGATTTCCAGCAGGAAATTGGACTGGTGGCCAAAGAGCTTGTAGTGACCGTGTTGGAGAGCTTGGGGAAGCGTTTGGCATCCAGCAAATCCAAAGCGTCTGAGCCAGGGCTAGCAGCCAGGCAGAAGGAGCAGCCTGTTGCTGGAGGAGCCACCCAAGCGGGCAAATCCGAGGAAGAGAAATCAGGGCAAACTGAACTAGCAGCTTCCAACAGAGCATCTTCACAGGCTTCCCTTGACAAACTCACCAGAGAAATTGTTGACAGTGTTTGCTGCACCTTGGAATCCTTTGTAGCTTCTCAGTTTGAGCGAGACTCTAGCTGCAAATATTCCAAAATCCTGGAGCTTCCCCGGGGAAATCTCTCTAACAGACAGCCACAGCCATCCCAGATGCCTTTCTCAAGGCAGGGCGTGGAAGAAGGACAAAGATGGTGGATGAAAAGCTGGACATGACCTGGCAATGTGCACTCGCAGCCCAGAAGGCCAACCGTATCCTGGGCTGCATCAAAAGCAGCGTGGCCAGCAGGTCGAGGGAGGGGATTCTGCCCCTTGACTCCGCTCTGGTGAGACCCCACCTGGAGCACTGCGTCCAGCTCTGGGGTCCTCAGCACATGAAAGACACGGACCTATTCGATCAGGTCCAGGGGAAGGCCACAAACATGGTCAGAGGGATGGAACACCTCTCCTATGAGGAAAGGCTGAGAGAGTTGGGGTTGTTCAGCCTGGAGAAGAGAAGGCTTTGGGGAGACCTTCTTGCAGCCTGTCAGTACTTAAAGGGGGCCTACAGGAAAGATGGGGAGGGACTCTTTATCAGGGAGTGTAGTGATAGGATGAGGGGTAATGGTTTTAAA